ACCACAGGTTGATTTACACTCACTGTCTGTTCTGAGGAGTGAAACTACCTGTTTTCAGATGCATGCTCCATTTTTAATTGTGTAATTAAGTTGCTGACATAAGCAGGTATGCAATTTCACATTAAGGTAAGGATCCGTAAGGCATGCATTTGCATAATTTAATTTTCTGCACAGAAGATATTGAAAATCAATAACATGATTCATAGCCATACCGTATCATGGCCATGTTACTGTTGGTTGGCTGTTAGAGCTTAGAGCAGTACAAAGAATATTAAAATGGATTGGATTTGGTGTGCTGACTATGGATCTGTGCTTAGGAATCACACACAGTTTCTATTTGCAGATCTCTGATCTGTGCCAATGAAATATTAAGTTACTTAATATACTCTGTATCATTTTTGACTGCTGTAATAATAATTTTTAAAAAATTGTATTGTAAAAGATCATCTCATAATTGATTCAAATACATTTGAGAAAGAGATTTAAACTTTTATTTTCTTTTAAATTATGCAGGTGCCTGTGACATGTGAATATATTCTTATTTAGGAGAGAAGAAATCACACATTGTCGACATAGATGATATGAAAGTGAAAACGAAATATAGTCACCTTTAATGAATAGTTTATGCATTAAAAACAAATGTGGTGCCAGGGTGATGGAATTCTTTGCTCCCCTATTTGTGTGTGAGTTGCATAGGAAAAAAGAACCCATATGCATTCCATGCTGTTCTCTGTTTCAAACCTCCATTGCAAGTCTTTGCCACATGTCTTCTGTTGGTAGGTGGAAACATTGGCTTTATGAACACATGGCATTCATTGAGTCCCGTGGTGGTGGTATGGTGGCAGTCAGGCACATACATGTGCTTGTTATATCCAGGGAGCTTAGAGCCCTTCTTTGGCCAGCCAATATGCCATTCAGAAACAGCCTCTTCTCTCAACATTGTACCCCAATAATTTAGAGACATTTTCCATGGGATGGCCCTATCAATTTGATTACTTCTCGCTGATTGATGAATAGACAGCAATGTCATATTTTTTTTAAGGTTTGGTTATTTTTATTGGAAAGGGAGATAGATATACACAGAGAAGGAGAGACAGAGAGAAGGATCAGTCTGCTGGTTCATTCCCTAAGTGACTTCTATGGCTGGACTTGAGCAGATCTAAAGCCAGGAGTCTCTGCTGGGTGCAGGGTGCCAAGGCTTTGGGCCATCCTCTACTGCTTTCCCAGGCCACAAGCAGGGAGCTGGGATGAGAAGTGGAGCATCTAGAACAAAAACCGTGGCCCATATGGAATCCCAGCACATGCAAAGAGTAATTTAGCCACTAGGCTATCAGACCAGGCCCAGTATCACCCTTCTTAACTTTGTCCCTAGCAAACTGCCTTTAGATGTGCTTGCTGCTTGGCACAGAGCCTTATGCCACTGTGTTATGCACATGCATAGCTGGGGAAGTATCTGGCCTTTGGGGTATGGATGCAATTGCATTGTAGTGTCTTGGAGAACCTTCTGATATTAACCTTTCTTGTTTCTTGAGTAATATGTATATGTTTGAACATATTCATTTTCATCAAGTACTGAATGGGACTGAGGAAGGTATCAGGAGTAGGGTCAGAACTGGTGACTTGTATCAAGTCTAGTTAAACATTCTTTGAATTAAGGCCTTTTTGTAGAAGCTGGGATGTTCTTGCTGTATGTAATGAGCCTCTGTATTATTTGCTATGATCTACTGAAGCTACCAGGTCTGAAGTTGCTCCCATAAGAAGTGGCTCTGAGGGCCCGGCGCAACAGAGTAGCGGTTAAGATCCTTGCCTTAAACATGCCGGGATCCCATATGGGTGCTGGTTCTAATCCCAGCAGCACTGCTTCCCATGCTGCTCCCTGCCTGTGGCCTGGGAAAGCAGTTGAGGATGGCCCAAGACTTTGGGACCCTGCACCCATGTGGGAGACCTGGAAGAAGCTCCTGGCTTTGGATTGGCTCAGCTCCAGCCGTGGTGGCCACTTGGGGAGTGAATCATTGGACGGAAGATCTTCCTCCGTCTGTCTTCTCTGTATATTCGCCTTTCCAATAATAAGTAAGTAAATAAATCTTAAAAAAAATAGTGGCTCTGAGAGTTTGTTTTCACAAATGATCTGGGTAAACAAACAAAAAAAATCGTTTCTTTTTTGGGGAAATATAAAGGTAAACTGAAGTAGATATTTTAATTACAGATTTCATGTTTTGTGCAGTGCATTGGAATCAATTACCTTGAAGATGATGCTGTTCTTTACTTTTCTACCTACTCTATTAGCTTTCCAGTTAAGAGCTCTGTTGTGCCTCAATTCAGATGTTTGTGCAAATTCTGAAGCTGACAGCACATCATTGTCATTTCCACTGTAGATTGTAGCTTTCTGCTCAGCCAGCCCTTGAGAGGTGTGGACTTGGGTTGTCAGATCACAGGCAGTGAAGCCAAGAGTGGAGATGTTCAGGGTTCAGTGGAATCTTAGGTCCAACTCAGTATATGCTCGGTTCTCCTGTCAGTCTCTCAAATATTACCCAAAGAACTTAAAGAACAAAGCACTGGTATTTGCATTCCATCGCAGACTAATTAAACCTTTACTTCAGGGATGGCATTCCCAGTTATAGGGAATGTGAGTGTTATCTATGTGCTTAAACATCCAGGTCCGGGTCTGTGCTCTAGTGTAACAGTGGCTTGTTATGGTTGGCGAAATTGATGATCAGGAGTTGAAGTGACTTTAGAGTGAAAGACACCATGGATATATCATCTGTGGGTTGATAGAGTCAAAGGAACTGAAAAAATGAGATTTAACTAGTAATGGATTGGTGTAACCAAAAAGAATTTGGCAAGGCTATATTCAAATTGGTTTTGCCCAGAGCTTCTTTTTGCCAAGAGAAATTGGCCTACATTTTTTGCTTGCTTCCATTTTTGAACTTCTCTGTTGGTGGGTTACTTGATCCTTAGCTATCTTCAGGAGTAAAAAGGGGACTCTAACTAGCTGATTAGATATCTTTATTGCCTGTGTACCCCACTCTGCCATAGTGATAGTATATGCAGGTCTACTGGCTGAAGCCAAAAAGGGCCAACCCTTAGAACTGGGGAAGTGGTGAGATGGAATTAGTTGGCCATGACTCATGACCAGGTGCAGGGGGTTATGATGATGGCAAGAATGGAGGCTCTGCCACAAATCCGTTCAATGTTGTCAGGCATATACCCAGTGGTGAATTTAGGATTCTGCTCAGAGTAATTTGTGTTGTCCTCATAAGCATTCCTTGGGGATATTTTTGGCTGTACAGACAGGCGAAATGAGGCTCACTCACATATTTAATTGAAACCACATTTATTACACACGTGGTCAAGACACTATTGTACTCATTGTCTTTCCAGAAAGAGCGAGGATTTATTTGGGAGCAATTATTTGCAGCACAGTAAACAGATACATAATAGGTTCTCCTACATGCACAGAAAATAAACAGGCTTTACAAAATTAGTTATTTAATGTGCTTTAATGGAAGGAAAATAGATTAGGATCCTAGGAGATGGGAAATTTTACTTGGCATCCCTGAAAGTCAAATTCCTGAAGTTCTGAGTGGCTCATCAAAAAACTGTAGAATGGATTGACTGACTGATACTTGAGCTTTCGTTGTACTTTAAAGTTGGATAGTAACTTAGAGTTTAACTTTGTCATTCAGGTTGTATAAAGCAGACCTAAGTGCTACTAGGTTTAATTTTTAGATATGTGTTTGGTATTTACAAATTTCCCATTTCTTTATAGGGCAAATCTGTGTAGAGAATATCTTTGTTCAAACATTACGTATCTTAAATCTAGTCTTAGCAACTGAAGTAAAAGCCCAAGTACTTGACATGGTTCCTAGATTTTCTGCATAACTACCACATTGTCAACAAACCTAATGTGATGTGCAATTATTATTATTATCATCCCATTGTTTGTTTGGAATAGGAAAGTTAGTATACTTTCCTTTTTCCATTTTGGTTGCCATCAGTTGTGTATTCGGGTCTTTTTATGATTTTCATTGCTTTTTGGAAGCATAGTTGATTATGTTTTGGCGTTTAAGTATTAACATATTTAGCTAGGGTGCATTGTTTGAGTATGATTCCATCTTTAGATTCTGGGTACCCATGATATTTGTCTTATGCGCCGGCATATTCAGGTTATGAGCGCACACAAAAAATTTGCATTTACAGAGAGGATGGAGGGAGAGGACTTTTTACATTCTAACAGGCAAACCTCTTCGTAATGGGAGAGTAATTTTACTTTCACTTGCACTGGTTTCATTTTAAGTTTTCAGGAGTTTATCATTAAGCAGTTTGTTTACTGAGCATCATTGGTTTTGGATGAGCTCTCATTTCATATGCGGATTGTTTGCCTCCTGGAGCTTTGTGGAAGCCTGGGTCTCACTTGGGGAAATGTCCAAGGCCTCAGACTATGTTACATTGGGTGGAAGAGGCCCTTGTTTGAATGTGGAGGTTCAGTGGTTGTTTTTCTGATCTTCTGTATGTTTACCTGTGTGCCTTGGAACCTTTATTGAGTCTGAAAGGAGAAAGAATGACCTACACTCTGAAGCCAGAGGCCTATACGCCCAGGACAGATGCTTATCCAGGTAGCTGGAATCCAAGCCCCCTGGTTCTGACACTTGTCTGACCTTGGTTACATTAAAACTAAATTCATTTCTCCAAGCTTCAGAGTTTATTATAGGGGTATTGTATCTAGGGCCTGTTGGTGTGTTGCAGATCAATTAAAATAATTCATGTGAGATATTTAATGTATAGCTTTTATGGCTCAAAGTCAAGTCTTACTGTAAGTTGTTACTGAGATCAGTAGTAGCTATGGTAGCCATGACCATTTCTGGAGTATCCTGTAGTTCTTGAAATGAGGTTCTGTTCAGTCACCCTCCAGCTTTGTGCTTTGTGCTTCTACAAAGCTACCCTTTCTATGTGCAGTAGGGTAATGACTTTGACTCATCTCTGGTCTTTTTGTCTTCCAGCATTGACTGAGGGCTACGTTGGGACCCTGCATGAGAACAGACAGGGCAGCTCCGTGCAAATCCGCAGGCGCAAGGCTTCCGGAGACCCATACTGGGCCTACTCTGGTAAGTGGGGCTGTTCTGGTTGGGATTGCACAGCATCCAATTAAAAGTAACCCGTAAGCACTTTCCTTGCCTGAGTTCTATTTGTTCAAACCTTTTGTAGTTAAACTAAAGTCTGAAATATTCAAGGCTGTTTTTCCTGAAGGTAAAAATGCCTTCATTTATCTTTCCCTACTATTTTCTGGACATGTTTTTTTTTCCCCCTTGTCAAATTGTGTTTGTTTACAAACTTTCCTTGTTGATGAGTTGTTGTAACAAACTTGTAACTTTTTGAAAGATGCAGCCTTTTCCTTTCTGTTTGTTTCATGGCAAAGATTCCATAGAACTGACATAGGACTAGTGTTGAGCTGCTGAAGTATCTAGTAAGTATTATACAGCATTGATATCAAAATGCTGCTTTATGTTGTAAGCTGAGAAATACAACTTTCTCTCCAAATCAGATCTTGTTTGGAAAATTTTCTTAGCCTTCTGCTCTTCTGTATTCTTCACTTCTTTCATTTTTGTTTTTACTTTCAGCCTTTGAGGCCAGGCAGTTGGGGAGAATATTATTGCAACTGTGTTGAATTTTACATTGAAAATATTATATATATATTATATATTTATAAATATATGTTATATATGCACATATACATATAATATATGCATATATTCATAAAAATATATATATGCACATATATAATATATGTAATCATATATGTAAATATATATGTAAAGGGGAAACAATGAAGATGTGCAGCAATACACGGACCTTTCTGCATTACACTTCCTTACCCTCAAATATGTTAGAGATTTTGATGTGTAGGAATATTTGGACAATGGATCATAGCTAATTAAGGAGGAATGCTTGAGGAAGATAGGCTGCTTAAGAAATTGTGTTGCCACTGAATCATTCCAATTCTCTGTTTTGAAAGGGCTTGGAGGCACAGCATATTTGTCTTGGTAATAAATCTATGCATTAGGTAATGTTGTTGCATATAAACCTGAAGGTATCCTTTTCATAATAATGGCCTGGTTTAAATTCTGAATTTCCACCTGCAAATCCTGTTAAATTTATGTCAGTGTAAAATTTATAGGTCTGATCTTTAATTACACCTTATCTATTGGCTTTTTGCATCCTTTTGTCTATTGATAAATCTCCTGCCCCTACTGGGAGAATTGCCTATCTGTTTTGTTTTGTTGTGAACAGATAGTAACACTGAAGTCTTCAATCACCTCCAGTTCCTTGTGATTAGAATTATCTAATTAGAGCCCTTTTGTCACTATTTCTGATAAATGAAGGAAATTGGGAAATGAAAGCCAGAATTACATATATATAGCTTCTTGCCAAGAAACTCAAAGAAAAATTTATCATTTTGTACTCTGTGGTTCTGAGATCAGTCAGGAAGAGGCATAAAGTGACTTGCTATTTACAGTTCATCAATTTAGAATAATAATGCTGATAGTCAGGAAATGGGAAGGTACGACCCATCAGTATCTCCAGTTGCAAATGGTCATGAAAGCTTGAGAGGCCAAAACTTTTTCCTTTACTGTGTCAGGAAAGGACCTAAGTAATACCAACTTTGTGATGGGGCCATTATGAAGGAAATTTGATGGGCTCAAAGAGTTCTTCCCTTTTTGTTTCTGCATTGTGCAATGCCTGGATTGGGAAGTTTCCTCTGTCACTGGAAAGGCTAAAGGCTTCAGAGTTGATACACTTTTCTTGTCCAGATCTAGATAGTGAACTTCTGAGGATTATCAGACCATATGGTCGTTACTGTATAAACACATCTCCGCCATCTTAGCTTAAAAGCAGCTATAGGCTATCCCAGATACACTGGCCATGTCATTGGAGTCTTTTTCATGGACCCTGGAATTTGTATAAATTATAAATCATGTAATTATCATGTACCAGGAAATGCCCTTCTTCTTTTCTAGCCATATCATTCTTACTTTGCAGGAGTGCAACAGCCAAAGCAGCAGTTGGAGAGGGTCCATAGTCTACAGTCTGTTATTGCTTTTTTTGATTCATTTTTCTCTGGAACTCTGGTCTTGGAAAAGCTGATGAAGTCACTTGATAGTTCTGAAGAAGGAAGTAAGGAAGAAAGAGGCAGATGTAGTTGATGGCACAGGCTGATTTTGACTTAGTCTTTCCCTTCAGATGGAGTACCCTCAGTAAGTCTTCTAGGTAGCAGTAGGTAGTTTCTCTGACTTTGCTTTTGGAAAGGACTTGAGTGGAAGATGAGTGAGGTGGAGTGGAGGGGTGAGTGGCAAGCAGTGGATTTGGGAATTGGGCTGCTGTTGAGTGTTCTGGGTTTTCTTGTCCTGGTTCTGAGGTTGCTTTTGTATGTGTAGAGTTTGGTAAATGATGCTTATTTTTTGGGGAAAACTTAAAATTTACTTTGTTGCTTAAGAGGAAGAAACACACACACACACACACACACACACACATGAGGTTGACAGGGCGAGAGTGATCATATCTGCTGGCTCATGGTCTGTATGGTCATGGCTGGGCCAAGCTGAGGCTGGAAACTCTACATCTGTGTGAGTGGCAGTGACCCAATGATTTGAGCCATCACTGTTGCCTGCCAGAGTCTACTGTTTTTTATCAGGGAACTAGAATTGGGAGTGGGACCTGTGAGGTAGTCATCTTAACTGCTGTGGCAATTGCTTGCCTCCTGCTGTTGGTTAGTGCTTATGGTGTTGTATTCTAATCACTGTGCAGAGTTTTGTGTAGGAGCTGTTGTTAGCGTGTTTATAAGATACTATTATGACAGTAGTTGTGAATTTAAGGAGTTTTTCATTTTTTACTTTATATCGCCTTGAATCGTGGAGACATTCTGTATTTGAAATATTTAAGAATTCTGCTTTTGTATGCTAATCAAACAATGCTGTTGGGACCCCTGCAACATTAGCATAGAGAACTGTTTATCCAGGAACCTGATGATTTCCATCACGGGCAACTGAAGTTGGGTTATCTGCCTGGGTCTTCATTTAGTGTACTGTAAAAAGGGAACCATGGTATTTATGGATAGAAAAAGTATCCCACGGAACATATTGTAAGATTAGTAATAACTGTTAATAATATGAAACGTTCTGAACATTTACTATAGATTTTTTTCCTTATGCTAACATATTACAGAAAAGAAAGGAATGACCTTTTATGTATTTCATGCAGAATTACTCTGGGAAAAAATGCGGCAGCCTCAGAGTATGTCACTGGAAACATTAAAACAATTTCTTTTCTGTTAGTTTTACTCAACAAATATGTAGATATTTTTCTGCATTTCTTGAGGTGATGACAGCTCATGAATTTTGGAGCTTTCCCAGAACTTCAGTAATTATTACACAAAGAAATCTTACTTGCTAGGTAGGGCATCCTTGCCGGAAAGGGAAATGAGAAACAAATCTGGAGCAAGTTCAAGTGGAAATTTCAAGCATTTTTTTTTTTTTTTCCAAAGTGTGGTCTGTTTTCTCTCCTCTGCCTCAAGTACTTGGAGGAAAACAGGCCATGGTCTGCTACTTCCTCAAACCCCATGCCCTCACCTCCTGTCCCGCCAGTTCCTCGATCCTCTACCTACTTTTAAATTGTTTGGTTTTCTGTATTTTAAATAATCTCCAACTTATGCTCCTTCTATATAGAAAGAGTTTCTATAAATCAGTTTAAGGGCTGAGGGGAAACATTTCTCTTTGGTTGAGGAGTCCAAAATTGAAACATGCAGTGACCAAAATTGCCTGCTAAAAGTATCTGGCATTGAACTCAGTGAAGGTCAAAGAAAATTATCCTAAGAGGCAGTTCTGCATTGGCTAGGGAATATTCCAAGTCTTGTCTAATTGTCTTTGGGGCTTGAATGATTTACTCAGCTGCAAAACAGAGATTAGGAGAATATCTGGAGGGATGGATTGAGGGTTAGAGGTAACGTATTGAAGCACATGGATTAAGTTTTGGTTTTAACCTTGGAAGACAGTAGGTGTTACCCATTTGGTTTTTAATTATATGCTACCCCACTACACTGTTCATACAAACATCTTGTTTTGTAACATCAATGTCTGTGTAGGTGTGTGTCTCATTTCTCTAGCTAAATGTAGACTCCTGAAGGCAAGGATTATATCTCATAATTCACCATTTCTCCTGCTGTGTGCCAGAGCATCTCATTTTGTTCATATTAAGTGCATATTTTTTAAGTGGGCAAATGGATAGATGGATAAATGAATGCATGCCAGAATCTGTTCTCAGGAGTTTGCTGAGGGGGGATCCTGCCATGAAATTCAGATAAATTAGTGGGTAATTTTCAAAAAGTTTCACTGTTGGATCCCTTTAAGTAACAAGCTCCCCTGGTGAACTTAAGATACAATTAAATTTCTAAAATTATATTTTCATGCCTATTTTAAGAATGTCTTCACAGAGTCGATCAAAATACACATGCCTGCTAAGTCTGCTTTTTGTCATTGGAAGAATGGAAGGCATGTGGAACCTCAAGGTTTTGTCTTCATGTTGTTCTATTATTTGCCTCTCCTGAGAAGTCTCCCATGGGGGTCTTATAAGGGAATGTTTTTCTGTAGAGGTGTTTCTTTCACAGCCACAACCTTTTGTCTATTGAAGCCACACCAGTGAGCAGGAGTCGGTCTTGGGACTCATCCTCTAAGTGTACAAATTTATAAATGTTTATGAAATCACCTCCAGAGAGAAGATGCCAAAAACCCTTAAATCAAAGGGAAGGATCAAGATGGTTTTTTTTTTTTTTAATGAGAAAAGGAAAATAAAATATCCTCAACCGAGAGAACAATTTCCTTCCAACAGAAGAATTAAAAAAAAAAAAGACAATCTCAGCCAAGCATTGAAAACATCCTCCAAGTGTCTTCATCATATGGCCAACACATTTTTCTCTTTTATACATAAAGTCCTGATTAGTGCATGACCATATGTGTTTTTTCTCACCCTATCTATCCTTGTAACCACAGATCAAATATAAAACAAGAAGAATACCTACAAGAAGCAACAGTTTGATCTTCACTTGCTCCCTACC